CTTGAGAAATAGTGTACCAAGAAAGTATTGGGAGAAAGCAACTTGTGCCTGTGCTACGTAATAACCAAAAAATGTATGAAAGTCTGAAGCATGAGTTAAAAAGACCAAAGGTCAGAAAACAAAAAAGAATTTATTGAATACTAAATAGTATAAAAAAAGTAAATAAACCCAAAAGTACTCAACCAAAGTACATAGTAAGAAAAACAAAAAGAGTAATAATAATAATAAATAAATACAAAATGTTCTAGTGATACATGTATCAGTGAGACACAAAACTGATTTACTAAAGATGCATGCATCAGTTAAGTTTCAATATGATAAAATGATATAAGATACATGTATCAATGTGTCTCAGAGTAATTCGATAAATGTATCAATAGATGAATATATTAAACCAGTATAGTAATCTGCAAAATTAACTCTAATGTCCTAAAGATATAAGGGTAATAAATAACAGCACACGTCTGTGCTGATGGGAAGACAAAGGCTAATGTGGTGATAGGGGAGTAGATGGAGTGCAGGAAAATGTCAGGGTGGCAAATAATGCAAGCATATGATTGCTAGATACTTGTCAAAGATCGCAAAGAATTTCACTGCTTGAAACTAAAATAGCGATGTGGAGACTATAGGTCTAAGCATATATTTATAGTCAGTTAAGCCAATCCTGCTTAATATGACCGTATAAGCTACAAGCATACTTCTAGCTCAAGAAAACTGTCAGTAGCTATCGGTATAGAGACTGCGAGTCCTAACATATAGGTGGTTAGGTGTAGCAAAGATGATAACTATCGGTGGTGATGCAATTCTGCATATATAGCAGTCAGAACTTACAAGCGTATGAATGCTAGATACCACTGCATATAAAACCATCAGGACTACAAGCGCATGAATGCTAAATACTGTTAGAGGCTGAAATAATAACTATGGCGTCTGATGGTTTGTTGATTGTGAAATAGCAGGTACAGGCTGTAGTTAACTGATAGGACCTGTAGCCAACACAAAAAAATATAGCCGTAGAAGTAGTTGTAACAGGAAAGATAGAGATGATAGAAATACTAGTATGGTGGACTCCACACTAACAGTTCACCCCCGTGCCTTCAAGGGCACCTAAGTAATCCCATACAAATACAGTCTGATGAGTGGTGATATAAAAGGTACTAGAGAAGGCTAAATAAACTCTACACTACCTACTCTTCCCCGTGCCTTCAAGGGCACCTAAGTCTTTCCATGCTAAGATATAATCTAAATAACAAGAGGACAGATAGAGTTGCTGTCATTCTCTGGTTAGAGACAGCATGTGAGAAGCCACTGACGCGCGCGTTTCGCCCGACTTGGCTCATCACTTTCATATATATTTTGGTTATTATGTGGCACAGGCACAAGTTGCTTTCTCCCAATACTTTCTTGGTACACTATTTCTCAAGCTTTTTGTCTAATAGTCCTTCACATAATGAATCGTGTTCCGAAAACATTATGTTTAGAAAGGGCATATTATCAAGAGCAGAACATGAATAATAAAGTAAAAACAAAATTAGTATCAGCGCTAAGTGAATATACCCCTATGTAATAAACACAGGGTTCAACCCAAAAATGTCTTGTCCATCAAAGAGTTCCAATTTCAGTCTTAATTGAGGGTACTTCCAAGCAATTCACAGGGATTAGTTGCTGCAACAGTAGCATATACGTAAAATCTGTGTCTTTGTATGTATCCAAACCTTAAAATAGAAAAGATACTGGCATAGCGTAATACTGTTACAATTTTATTACCCAAGTGAAAAAACCCCCATAAGAAAAACTCTTACAATATAATGTTGTGAAGCTTATCTCTAAGTTTCACAATAAAGCACAATTCACACAGTGTTAAATGGAAGAGTTACTTGCTGTCGCTCAGTGAATACAGATCTTCCTGAACCGTCCTGTGCACTTGCATCGGTTCCTCACAAGAACGCCGGCTTCCAGGCACTGCTGTGATTGTTGTAGATTTAAAAGTCCCACCAGACACACGATCTACATGTTTCGCTCGTTAGACCGAGCTTTTTCAAGATGAAGTGTATTGTGGGACAGTGGGTGTATATAAACACCTTTCAATCAACCAGTCAACCAGTCAATTGGTACATATAAATATCCTCTAATTGCATAATTACAATCAATTTGCCGCTTTTTAGTAGTTTATAAACACCATCCTTTGTAGTTCTCTTATATACATAGATGCATATGAGCTAACACCTGAATCCTAGATCAATTAATTACATATACAAACACAATTAACTGTTCGTTTCATTTACAGCAGACTGTCTCTTAACATTCAATGGGACCTATCCGCTTAAGTCTGCATCGTACTGAGACAAGTTCTCTTCAGTGTATTTGGTTTACTCACTAGATATTAGAAATACTTTATATATCATATATAACATATGCCCAAAATGTATATACACCTATAGTCAACTATTAAGATTAGGAACAGACTGACCCTTCACCTCTCATAGGATTCATGCATTTAAATCTGTTCAATTATTTTCCTTTAGGGAACAATGTAAAATTGACCTTGCATTAATACAAGGTTCAGAGAATTTTGCTTTTAATAATGAAAGCCATTGGAGAAAAGAAGTTTTCTCATTAGAAAAATTGATTACTAAGGAGATAAAGCTTAAATTAGAAGTGGCTTCCCTAGAAAAATATTGGGAAAGCCGCATTATCCCACGACGATTGCAAATAATGCTACAGTCATCCACGGACAAAGATGATCCGGAATTTAACATTGTATGGGATCGTATCCTGGACAATTGTTCATATGAATTAATGAGCCACATAATATGTAAACGCAAAAGAATGCTGGCAGCAATATATAGGGATATAAATAGTCTTAAAGAAACTCTTACTCCTCATCTAGAACACCCAGAGTGTGTGGCATTGATGGAGAAAATAGAGAGAAAATTAGAGAAAACTTTTGAAGAGGTGATTAGTATTAAAAAGAAAAAATATGATAGAGATGAACGGGATTTTAAAGAAAACCATGTGAGAGATTTCAAAAATAAAGAAAAAATGATGAAAAATACACCTAGGGAAATTAATGCAAAACCCCAGAATACTCCAATAAGAAAGAAAAATTCTTCCAAACGTGTGCAGCACACAGAGAATACTTTTACTGAGAATAAACGTTTTTCTACAACAGGAACCCCTAAAGAGTCCAGATGGACCACTGTAAAGTACAATAAAAGAGGTGGATCATCTCAATATAAGACCACCCGAACCCCTAAGTCCCATAAATCAATAGATTACACAACCTGGAGACATAAGAACAGGTTTGAGGTTTTAGACAGGAATAATAGATCTGAAAAAGATCAGAATAGACACTCTACTGATCACCATCAGCCTGAGAATCATTTTTTAGGACCAAGACAGAATTTTTTAAACCGTCAAATTACGAGTACAAGCTATCCAGACAGGAAGAAAATACCCCTTTTAGGGGATGTAGAGGAGGAAAAAGAATCCAGAAAAAGAACCAGATGGTAACGATGACAGGAATTTTTAATCTATCAAATATGACCTTAACGAAAGATCCGGTTAGGGTTTTAAACAAAGGTTTAAAATATGCCCCCACGAAAAAATCGAATCCCTTCTCTAGTTTTGTAGATGTTCAAAGGTTTATGAGAAGGCTGTCATTAAAAGTTTTTTCCTAAATAATCTGATCTCTAATACAAGGGAACTTTGTACAGATATTTTTCAGCATACAGACCTGAGAAATAAGTCTAAATTCTGTCCCAGTAATCAAATGAGTGCACCTATGACCGCATTCAGTTTGGCTGTTATTGCGGATTTGGAAAGAATTCCAGAAAGAATATCAGGCCAAAAATTTAACTTGACAAAATTGGAGAAAAAAGCCCTTAGAGAATTAGAGGAAAACAAAAATATCACAATAAAACCAGCAGATAAAGGGGGAGGCATAGCGGTGATTAATACCAAAGATTATGATATTGAATGTAATAGGATCTTAAATGATGAAAACACTTATAAACGGCTAAATAAGGATCCCACTATGGACTTTAGAAAGTCTTTGCTAACATTATTGGAAAAGGGAAGTTTTAGGGGGATTTTAAATAAAAAATAACTTGATTTTGTTGCGGTCATACATGCTAAGAAACCTGTATTTTATTATCTTCCCAAAGTACATAAAAGCATCTCACAACCCCCGGGGAGACCTATCATTTCAGGTATAGACTCCTTAACATCTAATCTTTCACAATATATTGATGTGTTATTACAACCATTTGTGAAGCTTTCTAAATCCTATCTTAAAGATAGCGGGGATCTTCTGAAATTAGTTGAAGGCATTACCTGGAAAAAGGGACTTTGGTTAGTCACGTGTGACGTGACCTCATTGTATACCATAATCCAACACGATTTGGGACTACGTGCAACTAGACACATTCTGTATAAGAACCAGATCTTAAGTATGGAACAGATCAAATTTTTATTGGAATGTATAGATTTTATTCTTACACACAATTTTTTCTGGTATAAGGAGGATATCTTCCTGCAGATAAATGGAACGGCTATGGGGACTAGGTTTGCACCCAGCTATGCCAATATTTTTATGGCTTATTGGGAAGACCTTTTTATTTGGCAGGGGCATCGCTGTGTAGCAAATCTAGTCCTATACAGACGGTATATAGATGACTGTTTCTTCAGTTGGGATTGTCAGGAAGCAGACTTGTTAGAATTCTTAGGATATCTCAATCAAAATGATTTTAATTTGTCTTTCACACATTCACATAGTGAAGAACAGTTGGATTTGGTGCTATATGTGGAAAATAACATTCTAAAATCCAAGACTTTCTTTAAACCTGTGGATGTCAATAGCTTCATCTTGACATCTAGCTGTCATTATCCCTCTTGGCTACAGGGGGTTCCTATAGCCAATTTTTGAAAATTAAAAAGAACTGCACAGAGGAAGATGTATGTATGGAACAACTGAAGAAAGTCAAAACGCAGTTTATAGAGAAGAATTACGGTCTAGATTTACTAAACAGAGCATCAGAGAAAGTATTGAGCAAGACCAGGATGGAGATTTTGGCACCAAAGGAGAAGTGTGAGGACGAAAATAACGAGAAGCTTTTTTGCCCCCTTATTTTTGATTTTAATGCTCAGACAAATTATATCAGGAAAGCGGTCCTGAAAAATTGGGATCTGTAAAAACCAGACCCACTATTAACTTCTATACTACCAACAAAACCCAAAATTATTTTTAGGGGAGCACCAACCTTGAAAGATAAATTGGTACATAGCCATGTTAGGCTATCCCCTGAAAAACATTTTTTAAATTCACAGATGGGCTTTTATAAATGTGGGACATGTAGAATTTGTAAATTAATTGGTCCATCTTTTGGGGCCATTTTAGAATTTACATCCACAGTAACGAAAAAGACATATAAAATAAAGGAGCTTATAACCTGCAATTCAAAACAGGTGATCTATTTATTGAGCTGCACGTACGGTTTACAGTATGTGGGGCAAACTAAATGAATGTTAAAAGTAAGATTAGGGGAACATGTATATAATATTAATAGGAAATTTGAGAAACATTCACTATCAGAACATTTTAAAACTCATCATAATAATAATCCAGGGTCTTTATCGTATTGTGGAATCCAGAACATCAAAATCCCCTGGAGAGTGGGGGACCTTATAAAGAATTTGCTACATAGGGAAAAGTACTGGATTTACACATTAAAAACTCTGGCCCCTTTGGGACTTAATGCGGAATTGGAAATGTCTCATATTTTATAGAAGAATATGATATATATTTTTCTAGTAATAGTTTCTAGTAAGACTATGGGCTATTTATTATTTATTTTTATAACAAATTCTTATTGTTTTTTTTTTTTTAATTTGATTGTTTCTTATAATTATATTGTCCAACTTGATATAATTGGAGAATTGATTATGCCTGTGGATCAGCTGTTAGACCCGAGAATTTTTACACAGTTTATGATTATTATTATTTTTTGTAATTATCAAGGTTTCTGTAGATATATTTTAATTGTTTTTTTATATTCAGAAGGAGAAAGGTGGAATAATTTGACTTAACGTCCAGGTAGTATGTGAATGAAGACAGGAGGGGTTTAGCCCTTCCATGGAACAGATTTAAATGCATGAATCTTATGAGAGGTGAAGGGTCAGTCTGTTCCTAATCTTAATAGTTGACTATAGGTGTATATACATTTTGGGCATATGTTATATATGATATATAAAGTATTTCTAATATCTAGTGAGTAAACCAAATGCACTGGAGAGAACTTGTCTCAGTACGATGCAGACTTAAGCGGATAGGTCCCATTGAATGTTAAGAGACAGTCTGCTGTAAATGAAACGAACAGTTAATTGTGTCGGTATATGTAATTAATTGATCTAGGATTCAGGTGTTAGCTCATATGCATCTATGTATATAAGAGAACTACAAAGGATGGTGTTTATAAACTACTAAAAAGCGGCAAATTGATTGTAATTATGCAATTAGAGGATATTTATATGTACCAATTGACTGGTTGACTGGTTGATTGAAAGGTGTTTATATACACCCACTGTCCCACAATACACTTCATCTTGAAAAAGCTCGGTCTAACGAGCGAAACATGTAGATCGTGTGTCTGGTGGGACTTTTAAATCTACAACAATCACAGCAGTGCCTGGAAGCCGGCGTTCTTGTGAGGAACCGATGCAAGTGCACAGGACGGTTCAGGAAGATCTGTATTCACGGAGCGACAGCAAGTAACTCTTCCGTTTAACACTGTGTGAATTGTGCTTTATTGTGAAACTTAGAGATAAGCTTCACAACATTATATTGTAAGAGTTTTTCTTATGGGGGGTTTTTCACTTGGGTAATAAAATTGTAACAGTATTACGCTATGTCAGTATCTTTTCTATTTTAAGGTTTGGATACATATAAAGACACAGATTTTACGCTACTGTTGCAGCAACTAATCCCTGTGAATTGCTTGGAAGTACCCTCAATTAAGACTGAAATTGGAACTCTTTGATGGACAAGACATTTTTGGGTTGAACCCTGTGTTTATTACATAGGGGTATATTCACTTAGTGCTGATACTAATTTTGTTTTTATTTTGTGTCTTATAAGATATTTTAAAAACTTGGGAAGGTTTTTTTATTGTATCTAGCAGCTTTCCAATTTAATTTTCTTGTGGAACACTAAGTTTGGGGCATTGTCCTAGAAATTCCACTGTATTATTCTTGACGTGCGCTCTCTATGCTGTGTTTTTGTATGAATAATAAAGTATTGGTAAATAGAATACGTTTTACATATTTACATAATTATAAAAATATACTAACACGTGAGAGAGTGTTATTATGAGACGTGTGTATATATATATATATATCATTTTTTCATCCAAAGAGTGATTGTAAAATGCTATTAATGATGACTTCATATACATATTATTAAAATATAAATAATTCTTTAAAATGTATATATATTTTAAAAACTTGTTTTAAAAATGTAAATAAAGTGCATATGAAAATAAAATTATAAATATAATTCGTCATTAAGTCCATATGGTTGCATAGTATTAAGACTAAAAATCCATTGCATCTCTGTTTGCCCTATATGTTTAATCAGGTCTTCTCCTCTCCAATTCATGGTAATTTTCTGAATTCCCATAAATTCCATTAGGTGGGGATCACTATTGTGTTTCTCCCTAAAGTGCAATGAGACGCTGTGTTTTTCAAAATCTTTTTTAATATTTCTTGTGTGTTCCTGAATCCTCATATTTAATGTCCTAATTGTTCTCCCTATGATAATCCGCAAGGGCAGGTGATCATATATATATATAACTTTTGTAGAGTACATGTGATCATTTGTTTAATTCTGAACTGCTTTATTTTGTCTTTTGGATGAATATGTTTTTAAATATACAGTACCCCAAAGTCCCAGTTTTTTATACCTTCCAAAAATACATAAGGATTGCGATAGACCACCTGGTAGACCTATTGTCTCAGGGATTAGGTCTATCTCAAGTAAATTATCACCGTATATTGACAAATGTTTGCAGCCCATTGTTACTACTTGCCCTAGTTACCTGAGAGATACTATAAATATTTTACAAATTCTTCAAAATATCACATGGTCTGACACTTACTATCTCGTTACAGGTGACGTCAGTTCCCTGTACACGATCATTTCCCACACTAAAGAGCAACCAGATATTTTTTGGAACGTTCACAAATGTTTTTAGAAAATCAAATCGATTTTACTATCGAGGGGATCAAGTGGATTTTAATAAACAATTATTTTTGATTTGGGGAACAGTTGTATCTCCCAATCTGTGTAATGGCGATGGGAACGAGGTTTGCACCCAGCTATGCTAATCTATTTATTTTACTCTGGGAGCAAGAGTTCATCCATGATGACCATAGGTGAGATGCAAACCTCTTTGTCTATTGCGCTTACATAGACGATATATTTTATATTTTTTTATTTGGAGAGGGGAAGAACAGTCACTCAATACTTTTTTAACCCAACTGAATACTAACGATTGGGGTATTAAACTTACCAGTCATTTTAGCAAAACATCTGTAGTATTTTTAAACCTCAACATATATGTGGAGGAAAACACGCTTAAAATTTGCACTTTCTTCAAGAGAGTGGACGTCAACAGCCAGAGCTGGACTGGGGAAAAAATTTGGCCCAGGCATTTTTGAATCACAGCGGCCCACTGAGGAGGGAGCGTGCCAGAGAGGGGGGTGTTTTGTCATCTCCAATGACAAGCACGCCCACTCTCAAAGTGAGCAGGTTGGTTTAATGCCCTGCTGAAGAGCTCTTGCATGAGAAAAAGGCCCTGTACTTGCACTGTTTACTTGTGACATTTCTCCTGTGTCCCCATAAGTGGAATATCAGAGGACAATAGTGTAAGGAAAGCATATTGTACATGTGTTTAGATTCTGCTTGTGGGATTGAGTTTGTGTGTGTGTGGGGTGATCTGTGGTGTTTGGGGTGCTGTGTGGTGTGTGTGTGTGTGTGAGTGTGTGTGTGTGTGAGGGGTGCTCTGTGGTGTTTGGGGTGGTGTGTGTGTTAGGGGTGCTCTGTGGTGTTTGGTGTGCAGTGTGTGTGTGAGGGGTGCTGTGTGGTGTTTGGGGTGTAGTGTGATGTTTGGGGTTTAGTGTGTGCATGTGAGGGGTGCAGTGGGGTGTGTGGGGTGTAATGTGATGTTTTGGGGTTTAGTGTGATCATGTGAGGGGTGCAGTGTGGTGTTTGGGGGCATAGTATGATGTGGGGTAAAACAAAATAATATGTATGTGTGTTTTTTGTATTATTTTTTTGTATTATTATTATATTTAGGTCCCCTCTCCCTTCTTACCTTTGTCTGGGAGTGGGGACCTTGCTGCCAGCCCTGGAGGTCAGGTGTGAAATCCCTGGTGGTCCAGTGTGGAGTGAACTCTACCCTGTAGTTCCTGGGGTAGATTTCACTCTCGCGAGATCAGAGCGTTGCCATAGTAATGGATTTTTAACCTTAATACTATGCAACCATATGGACTTAATGACGACTTTGAATTATGTCATTTTTTTTACAAGAAAATAATAACTATTTAAAGTTTATTTTTATATGCACTTTATTTACATTTTTATAACAAGGTTTTAAAAAATATATACATTTTATAGAATAATTTATGTTTATATTTTTAATAATATGTATATGAAGTTGTCATTAATAGCATTACAATCACTCTTTGGATGAAAAACTGTGATTATATATAGACTTGTTAGTATATTTTTATAATCATTATGTAAATATGTACAACCTGTATTCTATTTACCAATACTTTATTTTTCATGTTCATGTTCTAGTTGATTGAAGTAGGGTGGAAGCAGCTTTTTCTTATATTGAACATTTTATATTATTGTAAGCACCTTAAAACACAGAGCACTCCTTTTCTAGATATTGGAATAAGAATAGAGGCCTGGGGAGAATATTCATTTTTATGGAATGGATTCTGCCGATCCACAAGATTGGTTTATCATGCCAATTATCTAGGTCCTTTTTCAAGTTTTTTATTAAAGGTAAGTAATTATCTATATATAATGTGTTCTAGAAGCATCCAATTTTAATGCCTATCGAAACCAGAGATCCAGAGGCATTTCTAATGGCTGATATCGGGTTTAAAGTGTGTACGTGGCTTCAAACACTTGGCCAAAGGAGCATCTATCCTGTTTGCTCTCTTATAGAAATATCTACATGTTGATTTCAACTGCCATGCAGCTTCATCTAATAAGAGTTTTAATTCTTTTATTTTTTTTTATTCTTTATTTTTGTTGTGCATGTTATACATAGCAACGACATACGCCACAACAGGGTGTCTGAGAATGTACTTAAGTTGAACAGTGGCATGAGGAATTGCACAGTTTTATATAATTATAACACTCATCAGCTTGGCTAAACAGTGAAGTCATTAGAATAGAATAGAGAGCAGAGGTCAATGCTTAACAGTGCTAGTCTAATTATGCTAAAATAGTTGTAGTGTGGTGGTGTTATTTGCAGTGTGGTAATCGCAGGCTTGTGTGCAAGGTTTATGCAGGTTGCGTTGCTCTTGTGTAGGCTACTTGGAAACTGCACATTTTCAGGTATTATGTTGAAACTCGCTAGTCACAATTTTTAAGTATATAATGAAAGGAGGACACGATAAACATATGTCACTAAACAATAAGGAGACAACAGGCTAAGCTTTAAGTACTCTGACTGTCAGTATAGGAGTAATTGGCCTAGGTGAGTATCCAATACATAAGCAGGGTTGCAGTTATTGCCTGCAGATCATTCAGTAATTTGCAACGAGTATTATAGCATTAACACTAGGACATATTTATGCTTAAAACCATATAGATAAACTAGTTAGTGCTGGGTAAAGCTGAAGCACTGCAACTATATGCAATTGCATAGAGAGCGAAACAAGTAGTGTAGTTGATATTTGTATAAGATAATGGCCACTTGGATTAAACTTGAGAAAACAGTAATACATAAAAATAGGCATTGTAAACATGCTTAGTGAAAACTCCAGGTTGGTGGGAGCTTTACTGGTCAGTGACCTGATCCCAGTCAGCCAGTTCCCACGTCTGGGAAACTGAGACCCTGGAAGTGGGGGTTCAAGAAGGCAGTGTAAGTCCAGAAGTTTTAATAGTTCTCCCTCCGGCCCAAGGCTGAATCACTGGCCAGCGGTTGTTTGCCACGGATCAGAGCCCGCCAGCGGTACCTATCACTGCGGCTGGAGAGCCTGTTCCGCATCTCTGTTTAGGTGGTGACAGAGGCATAAGTGATTGGTGTGGCGCTCCATGGTATAAATGGGGCAATTCTCGCTGGGCCACAGCTGTGGGCCGGGGAGGTGGGAATTTGGGGTCCCATTTTGGGAAGTGAGTCCTGAGGTAGGCCTAAGGTGTTGCCTGAGTAGCATATGGGAGGGCCGCCAACGGTATTGTACAGGGAGTGCAGAATTATTAGGCAAGTTGTATTTTTGAGGATTAATTTTATTATTGAACAACAACCATGTTCTCAATGAACCCAAAAAACTCATTAATATCAAAGCTGAATATTTTTGGAAGTAGTTTTAGTTTGTTTTTAGTTATAGCTATGTTAGGGGGATATCTGTGTGTGCAGGTGACTATTACTGTGCATAATTATTAGGCAACTTAACAAAAAACAAATATATACCCATTTCAATTATTTATTATTACCAGTGAAACCAATATAACATCTCAACATTCACAAATATACATTTCTGACATTCAAAAACAAAACAAAAACAAATCAGTGACCATGGATTCTGTCAGTGTTTTGATCTGTTCACCATCAACATTGCGTGCAGCAGCAACCACAGCCTCTCAGACACTGTTCAGAGAGGTGTACTGTTTTCCCTCCTTGTAAATCTCACATTTGATGATGGACCACAGGTTCTCAATGGGGTTCAGATCAGGTGAACAAGGAGGCCATGTCATTAGATTTTCTTCTTTTATACCCTTTCTTGCCAGCCACGCTGTGGAGTACTTGGACGCGTGTGATGGAGCATTGTCCTGCATGAAAATCATGTTTTCTTGAAGGATGCAGACTTCTTCCTGTACCACTGCTTGAAGAAGGTGTCTTCCAGGAACTGGCGGTAGGACTGGGAGTTGAGCTTGACTCCATCCTCAACCCGAAAAGGCCCCACAAGCTCATCTTTGATGATACCAGCCCAAACCAGTACTCCACCTCCACCTTGCTGGCGTCTGAGTCGGACTGGAGCTCTCTGCCCTTTACCAATCCAGCCACGGGCCCATCCATCTGGCCCATCAAGACTCACTCTCATTTCATCAGTCCATAAAACCTTAGAAAAATCAGTCTTGAGATATTTCTTGGCCCAGTCTTGACGTTTCAGCTTGTGTGTCTTGTTCAGTGGTGGTCGTCTTTCAGCCTTTCTTACCTTGGCCATGTCTCTGAGTATTGCACACCTTGTGCTTTTGGGCACTCCAGTGATGTTGCAGCTCTGAAATATGGCCAAACTGGTGGCAAGTGGCATCGTGGCAGCTGCACGCTTGACTTTTCTCAGTTCATGGGCAGTTATTTTACGCCTTGGTTTTTCCACATGCTTCTTGCGACCCTGTTGACTATTTTGAATGAAACGCTTGATTGTTCGATGATCACGCTTCAGAAGCTTTGCAATTTTAAGAGTGCTGCATCCCTCTGCAAGATATCTCACTATTTTTGACTTTTCTGAGCCTGTCAAGTCCTTCTTTTGACCCATTTTGCCAAAGGAAAGGAAGTTGCCTAATAATTATGCACACCTGATATAGGGTGTTGATGTCATTAGACCACACCCCTTCTCATTACAGAGATGCACATCACCTAATATGCTTAATTGGTAGTAGGCTTTCGAGCCTATACAGCTTGGAGTAAGACAACATGCATAAAGAGGATGATGTGGTCAAAATACTCATTTGCCTAATAATTCTGCACTCCCTGTATATTGTGATGCCGGGGTATGGAGGTGAGTGCTCGGAGTGATTTGTGCCAAGCAAGAGTTTCACTGGACAGGTATGCATAGAAGGTTAACTCTGTGTTTTCAAACCGCATGGGAGTTTTACCCCGGAGAGCGGTGAGGACCATCTCTTTGTCTGATCTATTTCTGAAGGTAAGTATAGTGTCCCTTGTGGCGGTAACTGGGGCCCCAGCGGGCTTTGGGATTTGGAAGATGTCCCTAGGTGTAATAGCCTTGCTTTGGCCTGAGGGCAGCACAGAAGTTAGCATACGCTTGATCGTTTACGGGTGCTCTGCCTCCGGTAGCCCCTCCGGAATCCCCTAACCTTTAAATTGAGTCTCCGTCTCATGTTCTCCTGGGCCGCGAATTGCCTTTCAAACAGCATGTTTTGGTGGCACAGGTCTTGTATGTCCCTCTGCAGCAAGGCCATAGTCCGCTGTTGTTCTTGGGAGGAGTCCTCCAGCTTTGTTATGCTGCCCGTGAGGCCCTGCAGCTCTCCCCTGAGTGTGGTGACATCTGTGAGAATGTTCTTTTGTAGTTCCACTAGCAGGTTATTTAACACCCCGGTGGTTACTAGGTCGGCATCAGGGTCTGTTCCTGGTTTACTGTGCTTTACCCTCAGTTGTGGGTCTGGGCCTGGGAGATAGTCATCTTCGTCTCCCCCTGTGCCGTCATCTGAGAAATCAGAGCAGCCTCTATGGTGCGCCGCCATATGGACTCCGCTCTGGCCTCGTGCTTGCTGCCACATTTCTCCTAATGTGAGCCCTGGGGCTGCTTTGTCCAGTCTTGGCTTTTTGTGCTTGCGACCCATGAGGCTTGGGGAGGTTCCTCTTGTTGGACAGTGGGTGGTGGGGGCAGTATCAGCTTTATATATGCTTAGTTTCTCTGTTTTTGTCTCCAAGAGTTTTGATTTTAAATCTATCAATTTTGAGGTCTTGTAGTGTTTGTTCTGACGGGGCTGTTTTGTGTTTTTGTTCCAGCTTGCATATATATTTCTGTTACTCAAACAATGATTCTGACTTTATCATTTTCTTATAAGAGGCTATTTTAATCAATTCTCATCTAATTACAGTTTTATGAGCTGCCCATAAAGTGGTTTTACTAATTTCAGGTGTATTATTTTCTAGAAAATAATTTGAGAGTGCCTTTGTAATGTCTGCTCTAACTGAGAGATCCCTCAAAAGAGAAGTATTATGCCTCCATTAGTAGGTGGGTTTGACTGATCTGACCAGGTAATATTGTTAATTTGTAAGTTATATAGATAAGAAGCAAGTTCTAAATTTGACAGAAACATATCTATTCTGGAGTATTTATCATGTGGCTAAGAATAAAAAGTAAAATCCGGTATGTCAGGTTGGTGAGCCCTCCACACGTCAATGAGCTTATGGGCAGAAATAAACTGAAAAAAACAATCTATCCTGACCTCCCCGTCCCTGAGACCAAACTACTCCAGGCCTAGAACTCCTGTCTATTGCTGGACATGGAACTGCGTTACAATCCCCACCGATCAAAAGAAAATCTGACTGAATAGATTTAATAATTTGGCTTACAGTGTCCCAGAATCTAGCATCTGGGTCATTTGGGGCATATAAATTAAGTAGATGTAGCTTTCGGGGACCCATCATTCCAGATACTAAAATATATCTGCCTTCTCTATCCTGTTTAATACTTTAAACTGACATTGTTTATAGATTAAGATAGCCACTCCATTATGTTTACGAATGGCATTCGAGCTATAAGCTCTATCATACATTTTATCCATTAGAGATAATACACGAGATCTGGTAAGGCTAGTTTCTGTTAAGGTGAGCTGTATTTGCGACCATCGGCTTTGAACTTGCAGGTATAACATTAACAAAAACACATAGCAGGTATCAGCATGAAATATTAAATATAACTTTAACTTCCTACCAATATAAAACTATAACTTGCAAAATTCTAAACTGAACTGTAATATCATCTGTAACCAGTAGGCACCTCAACCTGAAATTAGTCAAATATACAATCAATTCGTATTAATTCGTGTAGCTGCTGGATTTAGAATTAAGAGGCAACAGGGAGGAATCGCACGAAAATCCTATGCCTTAAACATGTGTTCGTGCATTCCCAATACGTGTAAAACAGTTCATATGAATTTAAAATGAATGACTAAGAATAGCATGCGTTGGCTAGTGTATGCAAAGGGAGCCAAATGAGGAGCCAAATGAGGGTCCCTGTTCGTGCGGGTGAAAGACCCGAAAGCCCATACAAGAAAGAACTGAAAGTATACGTACGCGCGAGTCTATACGAAAACAGCCGAAACACATGCGAAAAACGTACAAAACAACAAGTAGTGGAATAGACCCAAACCGCAATGACACCAAACGAATGCAACCGAGGTGCCTAACCTACGGTTCAAACAAGCATTTCCGAGCTAGTCTCTAAGCAAGCTGGAGGAGGAAGCGGCCTGGAAGTGTTCGGTGAGCGGTCAGGTAAGTAGAACCAGGAGGACAGGTCAGGAACCAGGACCATGAGGACACAGGTAAGAAACAGCAAGATGGCGACTTGTGACTCAACTCGCCAGACCAGAGAGCGGATTGGAGGCCCTTATAAAAAGGACCCAAGCCCTTCACACAACTACATGCCCAGCCTTAAATATGCGGTGTGTATAGTGAATGCAGAGTGTGTTTAGTGAATGCAGAGTGTGTGTTTGTGTAGTGAAGGCAGAGTGTGTGTTTATGTAGTGGATGTAGAGTGTGTATAGTGAAGGCTGTTTGTGTGTAATAGATTCAGTGTGTATAGTGCATGCAGAGTGTGTGTTTTTATAGTGGATGTAGTATGTGTGTAGTGAATGCAGAGTGTGTGTTTGTGTATAGGATGTAGTGTTTGTGTGTATTTGATGTGGTGTGTATAGTGAATTCAGAGTGTGTATTTGTATTGTGGATGTAGTGTGTGTGTAGTGAATGCAATGTGTGTGTTTGTGTAGGGGATGTAGTGTGTGTATAGTGAAGGCAGAGTGTGTCTGTGTAGTGGATGTGTGTATTAGAGTGTGTATAGTGAATGTAGTATTAGTGTGTATTAGATGCAGTGTGTATATAGAGTGTGTGTAGCAGAGGTAGTGTGTGTATAGTAAATGCAGAGTGTGTATAGTGGATGTAGTATGTGTATAGTGAATGCAGAGTGTGTATTAGATGCAGTATATATAGTGAATGTGGAGTGTGTGTGTGTTGTGGATGTAGTGTGTGTATATTGATTGTAGTGTGTATATAATGAATGCAGAGTGTGTGTTTGTGTAGTGAGTGTATAGTGAATGCAATGTGTGCTTGTGTAGGCATGTAATGTGTGTAAAATGGAGGGGTTGGGGAGGGACATTTTTATTTTTTAATATGTTATTTTATTCCCCCCCTCCCTGCTTCTTACCTGGCCAGGGAGGGGGGAGATCGCATTCCCTGGTGGTCCGGTGGCATGATGCTCTGAGCTAGCTGTTGGACTCTGCATATGTGTGTCAGTGAGCATGTCTCTAGTGAGCTCACTGGCACACATAAAGGCTCACTACAGACAAACTCAATTACATAAATATGCTTACAGACAAGCTCACTGACAGACATTCACATGCTCACTACAGACAAGCTTGCTGACACATACATGCTCACTACAGACAAGCTCAGTGATGCACATTCAAGCTCACTACAGGCTATGGTGTATTACCAAATCTATATATATATTACACAAGGTTCGTCTACATTAAAAGGTATTTATTAGAAGGCAACAACACAATACTATAAATTTATCACAAACACACAGCCCAGACCCACGGAGCAACAACGCTTTTTAATTTCTCTCTCTCTTTATATATGTGTGTGTGTGTATATATATATATAGAGAGAGATTAATTTATATAGTAACCCCCTTCCCCACACGTTTGATCTCACCCACGGTTAGGCCTTCACATCTAGTAATGGCTTACTACTGCAAGTTCAACATCACATCCACCAAGGAAGAAAAGGAATCAACAGACTGATTTTACTGCCTGGCAAAATGTTACATACCCTTAGTTGAGATGATCTGTTTTACATCACATCCTGGTCATGCATCACTTCCTTTAGCAGTTGTGGGAGGTAAGGGACGATTCTTAGCCCTCCTACCCCTGTTTCTTTGTTTAGGGAGATCCTGAAAGGAAGACAAATTACCATGCAAGGAAGACAAATCACCACACAGGCAAGCTCCCTGACGCACACATACAAGCTCACTGCAGACACCCATATGCTCACTACAGCCAAGCTCAATGACAGACATATGCTTACTACAGACAAGCTCACTGACATACATTCACATGCTCACTACAGACAAGCTCACTGACACACACATGCTCACTACAGACAAGCTTAGTGATGCACATACAAGCTTACTACAGGCAAGCTCCCTGATGCACACTACAAGCTCACTACAGACAAGCTCACTGACGTACACATACAAGCCTACTACAGACAAGCTTACTGACAAAGACATACAAACTCACTACACACAAGCTCACTGACACACACATACAAGCTCACTACAGACAAGCTCACTGACATACATACATATGCTTACTACAGACAAGCTCACTACAGACAAGCTCACTGAGGCACACATACAAGCTCATTGATGCACACATGCAAGCTCACTACAGACAAGCTCACTGGCACACATACAAGCTCACTACAAACAAGCTCACTGACATACATAAACATGCTCACTACATTCAAGCTCATTGACGCACACCTGCTCACAACAGCAAGCACACACACATACACACACCCAACATCACTCTCCCTCACTAGCTGCAGTGTATTTGAAGCCTACCTATCACTGCAGGCTGCCACAGTGGAAGCCCTGGGAGGTGAAGACTCCATTTGCTGGCCTCTGGCTGCCAACAAGGTCAGCAGCTTGAGGCTGGGGGCGGAGCTTAAGTTTGGATGCAGGGTTTGAGAGCATAGGCGGAGCTTGGGTGCAAGAAAGCCCCCTCCCTGCAGTGCTCCCTCCAATATGGCCACACCAGCCCCCAGCACTGCCCCACATAATCCAGAGTCTGAGGGGGAAATAACTTAAATTGTATTAGGTATAGGCTCAAAGTGCTGCATTTTTATCAATATCCCGGTGGACCAGCCCTGCTGCTCCCACTCTTACTGCTAACTTACACGTGCAAGACTTTTTGCAGGTGGCTCCTTTCCTTTGGAACAGCCTGCCTACCCCATCATACTCTCACATGGTCTTTAATCATTTAAGAAACCCTTCAAAACCCACCACTTCAAAAAAGTCAGGAAGGTGTGACTAGGGCTGCATAAACAAACTGATTTAACTAAAATAAACAAAGTGATTTAACCATAATGACAGGGAGCCTGCATGGGGCATGATCTATACACCAAAACTGCTTCATTAAACTAAAGTTGTTTTGTCCCTTTAATAAAGAAGACTTGTTACAAGCTGCTGCTTGCATATTTTGTTTGAAGAAGGTTTCCTCATGTTCCGGATGCTGCTACTACTTTTTATACACAGAGTGAAGTGTTTTGACTGCAAGAGGAGTGCGTTTTTTTTTTTTTGTTTTTTTTTAAATAAATAATCATCATCAGGTAATGCCAGTAGGGCAGGTTGCCTAAATGTCTGAATTCATCACTGGAGTTTTGAATGCCTTTTTCTCCGCATATTTTGTTTATATGAATGACTTTATAGACTATAAAGAATTGCCTCTTTACAAGTAAATATAGCTCTTGGCAAAAGTGTTGAACGTGAATAGAGAGAGAGAAAAAACAAAACAAACACTAGATTAGTGTTCAGCCTACCCAATAGCTT